TTTTTTTTTGTGATCATGCAGTATGGAAGAAGGAGGCCGTTATCTGGGTATGACCCTTGTGCATCATCGTATACTTCAATTTATTTGAACCGAGCTGATGTCCAACGTGCTCTTCATGCTAACGTCACTGGACTTAATTATCCCTGGACACACTGCAGGTAACTAATAATAAAAATTATTTTATTTGTAGGAATTTGAATAAGGTTAATTAATGAGCGTTGTTGTTCCATTTTGTATATCAGCGATGCTATCACCAAGTGGAATGACGCACCTTTCTCCATACTCCCTATTCTGAGACAACTTATTGCTGCGGGCCAACGCATTTGGGTTTTCAGGTAGTTTATATAGTTTAATTAGTTGTTGTGAATTGTGAACTGTGTTGTTTTGAAAGTAAGTAATAAAATGCCATGAGATGAATGAATCTGTATATATTAGCGGAGATACAGATGGTAGAGTACCAGTTACAGGAACGAGGTACAGTTTAAGAAAGTTGGGTTTGCGCGTGAAACAGGATTGGACTCCATGGTATACATACAACCACCAGGTAGGTATATACATTACTCATTTCATTCTTGCTTAATTTAGAAATTAATAATTATCATAAACTTTACTTATACTTATGTATGTAGGTTGGTGGATGGAGAGTTGAGTACGATGGCTTAACCTTTGTGAGTGTAAGGGGAGCTGGGCATCAGGTTCCTACTTTTAAGCCAAGACAAGCCCTTCAGCTCCTCCGACATTTTCTCAATAACCAAACCCTTCCCTCTCAACCCTTTTGAACAACAACATATCTATATATAGCTTACCTTTCTCTCTATCTCATCTCTATAAAGAAATAATGATATAAGAACCAACTTCAATCCATTATTTTTTTGTCAAACATTTATTTATATAATTAATTATGTGATTGGCTGTTGCAAGTATGGTTTTGTTGATCTATGTATTGGAAATTCCAACTCCAATTGGTGATGGTGACTCGTTATTTCGATGCATCAATTCCAACTCCGGCTGGTTTAGAATGATCTCGGCCGTCCAGAGCTATCTTGATTATATTTATCCTTCAGAATTTAAATTATCAACTTACAATCTAAGTGCCAATGGTTGATTCATATTTAGTTCAAACCCATTCAAAATTACCTTCGTTATGGGTGAAATTTACTTACCACATTATACTAATTAGAATCGTGTCTATGATATCTTTAAATAGTTCTATGTATTAATCTTAAAAAATGAATATTGGTTATAATATAATAATAGACATCTTTAAACTAGCTTTAAAAGCAGATTTTTAATGGATTTCTATTTTTAAATATAAAATTTAGGGTGGAAAATACACACCTAAAATAGATAAGTTGTGTTATTATATAAATACAGATAAGATATAGATTTTTATCTAACCAACAAAAATTATCACATCTATACTTCTATACTAAAATAAAAAAGTTCTTGGTAAAATCATTTTTAGTAACTTTGAAAAAAAAAAAATAAGTTGACTTACTATTAATAGAAATTTTGAAAAAAATTTGGAGATTCTTATGTCAAAATATGAATCCAATTTTTTTCGTTTCAATTTTTTTTTATCAAAATATGAATCCTATTTTTTTGATATCAAGTTTGGAGATTCATGAAAACAAATTTAAATAAAAATAATTTAAAAACCATACAAATTGGATACTAATTCTTCCAATCTTTTTGAATAATTTTTTCTTCAAAAAAATGTGTAAAAATTAGATAAAATCACTTGCAATTTTTATATTAAAACAAAATTAAAATTTGGAGGGGATATACATTCAAAATCATATCTACTTTTTGGTAACAAAATCGGTTCATCTTTGACATTTAAAACCAAACATTATCCAATTAATTAGGAAAGAAACTCAAATCAAACCGTGTGCAATTTTTCAAAATTTGAATGCACCGATTTTTTGGATTCTTATATTTTTCTTAACAATATTTTACCGAGATTTTGGTAAGAACATATCAATTTTTTTGTTAAATTCATATCAATTTTTTTAGGAAAGAAAGTTGCAAAATCCTAACAACATATTCCGATCTTTTATGTAGAATTAATTTCAATTCAATTTGTTTGATAAAAAAGAAAAAATGCTGCAATATTAGAAAATTTTAGTTGCATTTTCAAGAAAAATTGATGATTCTTTTCACTTTGTTTTAACCAAACATTCGAATCAATTTGTTTGGTAAAAGAAATCAGTGTATTGGTATAAAATTCGGTTTTATTTTTTTTTTAAAAAAAAAAATTAATGATTCTTTTCAATTTTACTTAATCAAAATTTTCAATTAGAATTCAAAAAATTGGCGTGAAAAAAAACCAAAAAATCTCTACTTCTTTCTACTAGAATTTGTCTAATAAATAAGATCCTTTGATTTTTCTATAAATGTAATTTGTTAATTAATAACTAACAATACACAATTTTAGATAAAATTTGAATACTAATGTAATATTTTACATTCCAAATAACCAAACTAAGAATGTTGTACATAAAAAAAGTGTTCAATAATATATAAATTTTATTTTCACGATAGTTTTAACATCATCAGTTAATCTAAGTACAAAAACATATTTTAAAAATAAAATAGGTAATAATGGTCTCGTGCAATTCACGAGTACTGTACTAATCTAAATGAAAATGACAGAAGAAATGTTTAAAATTTCACTGCTATTTTTGTCCTTTACAAAAAAAGCGAACTATTATTATTATTATTATTATTATTATTATTATTATTATTATTATTATTATTATTATTATTATTATTATTATTATTATTATTATTATTATTATTATTATTCTAACTAGATACTTATATTTTTATACCTTAATAATTTAAATTATCTATTACTATATAATTAGGCAACTCACTTACTAAAAATAGTAAGTGTTTTAGTGGGTCCCTCATTATATTACTATTTATGGAAAGTTAGTTCCACTTTTTTATTATTTTATTAAACGTGCTTCAACCTCCATTAATTATTTTTTTCATTTTTAATAATAGGTTAATAGTAAAAGTTGACCTAAATTTGTTATTACCAGTTGTAGATAGATATTTTACAATGTTTTGTCTGTTTTGATTTCTCATTAATATAAAAGTAAATTTTTTTTACATGTACATGATATGTTGAATCACGGTGAATTATTTATGATGTATGTTAAATAATAATTTATATTTAAAGATTTCCTAAAAATATGAAGATACTAGATAATAATATGATACTTATTTAAATAAAAGAATGGTTCACAAATAAATAAATTGTAAGTATATGTATAGAAAATAATAGTTAATAAATAAGATTACATTATAAATTAAAAACCAGACAAGTAAGAAATAATATATTCAAGTGTCAAAATACGATCTAAATTACATGATAAATTCAAACAAGTTGTAATAAAATGTGGTAAGATAATAAAATAATTTGAGAATTTTCTTATATCCCAACTATATATATTTCCGCATTTAGTACATGATGTTCCAATTAAATCAATTTAGTTACTCAACTTTTCGTTTATCAATAAATTTTGGTCCACGTCGTTAGATTTCATAAAAAAAATAACGGTTTTAGAAAAAAATCATTAAATTCATGGAAAACTATATAAAAAAAAATCGTTAATACTATGTCAATTTGTTCTATAAATATAAAAAAACTAAAGAATATATATATAGGAATCTACTTTTATGCTTTTAATTCTGAACTTTACATTGTTGCTTCTCGAATACAAATAAAAAGACACAAGATACTGATATATAATGAGAAATAAAATATACAAATATAAACATTGTATATAGTACTCTATTTTAATTGCATATAAAAATTATTTATTCTATTTATATTTCCTTATTTTATTTATTTTTAATAGTTCCGTGCATTTGCACGAGCCACGATACTAGTATTTCTAACTAGAAACCCTTCTTCTTCCTCGAAAAAAAATCGCCGCTCTCGCATAACCCTCCTCTGTCTGTTTCCGGTTGCCTTCCTTGGTGATTCGCCGGCCATCTTGCCGGCGGGTAGCCTAAAGCCGCTCTCCCTCGTCCCTATTTAGCGCCTGCTCCAAGGGATTTGAGCCATCAGAGGTTAGAGGATGCTCGTCAGACAGTTCTTGCTGAGGTTTCGTCGCCGTTCGTGGGAATTCGCCGGCTTCTCTGGTTGTGTTGCTATTTTGGGTGGTGACGTGTAATTGGAGGTGAGTTGAGGTCTTGGCGGCTCGCTGTTGTCGGTGGCGAGCCGTTTGGGGTTGAGGGGCGTGGCTAGATCCCCTTTTCTCTGATTCCTTTTGGTGTGGAGGGTCGGGGAAGCCCGGCTTACCCAAATTTAGGCAAGTGGTGATGGTCGGCTTCGGGGTGGTGGGTTGTGTCATTGTGTGGTGAGGTTTGGCCAATGGTTGTCCGACTTTGGGTCGGCTACATTCTCGTGGTGGTTCGGGGCTCGGGATTCGACTTCAGCAAGGCCTATTGGCAGTTCTGGGAGTGGGGGTCTTGGTCCGCGGATCTAGCTATGGGATGGTGGCTTTTTTCTGTTAGTGCCTATGCGGGGCTTGGTTATTCTGATGGGGAAGGGCTTTGTCTGTCTTTCGTTTGGTCTTTTCGTGTGTTTTTTGTTGTGTTTAGTTTTCGTGTGCTAGTATTTTGTTCCGTGTTTAGTGTGTTGTATGTATTGTTTATTCTCCTTCTGGAGCTAAATTCTCCTGTTGAGAGCTTGTGAGTGGTGCATTGTGCGTGTTTCGATTAGGCTGTCTTTGGGTTGTCCTCCCATGAATTCAGCTGTGTAGTTACTTATTCCGGCTGTTATCAGTTGTATATGCGTGTAAATATATATTTTTCTATAAAATTATGTCGTTAGAAAAAAAAAAAGATAATTTAACTTTTTTTTTATTTTATTTTAAATTTTTTCCCTAATTGACACAAAATTCTCTCTCACAATGTCCAATTTAACACGACCTATTATACTGCCTTTATTGGTGACCCAACTCATGGGTCACCAATTAAAAAAAAAAAAAAANNNAAAAAAAAAAAAAAAGAGAAAAGTTGTAGGATTTGAGTGACCAGGTCACATTGTGACCTTCGGTCGCGACCCACATATTGTATGAAAATGGGACATTTGTCTCATTTTGATTGGATAAGTGTATTTTTTTATTTAAAAAAATAAAAATGATATTATTTTTTCATTCTCTTCAAATAGAGAGCAAATTTAATATATTTTAGAATAAAATTATAATTTTTAAATAAATTAAATTAAAATAAATATTTAGGTTGAGTTGGGTTGGAGATAAAGATTAATTAGGTTGAAAGATTGAGTTGTGTATGTGGAGTAGAGAGAAATAATTTTTAATTATTAGATTAAGTTGAGTTAGATTGGGGATAAGATAGTGTAATTTTGCAAAGTTTAGGGTGGCCCGATTGAGCGAGCTGTTCCCGCGATAGACAGCTGAAAGAATCAAAGAGGAATCACTGGCAGCTCCTTCCAAAACCCTAGTGAATTTCTTACAGCGGCCGGCTGCGTCTTGAAGCGTCTCAAGACCTGCTCTGCCGCTTCTGATGGCCCTCTTGCATCATCGTCAACAGCTGCTATTTCCTCGGACTAGAAGCAAAGAATCGACTCGCCTTGTCCAAGCGAAACCTCAAAATCTGCAATGATGAAACATATATAGTTTCTGTTCCTATTTCAGTACGTAATTGTGTAATCTTTACTTCCACCTGTTGCTATTCAATTGGTGGTAGCTTCAATCGATATAATAGCAGTTTTACGTTTTCGTGATTTTGTTTTTTT